AGTCAGATGATGCAGAGAATTTACCTTTTAAACAGAGTTTAACCAATGAAAATTGACACAAGAATAATACATATCTCAAGGTAAAAACCCAACTATCATTTTTTTTTTAAAAAGCCAGCAAAAGGCAAATGAATAGATAGGGGTTTAGTGTGAGGAGTCATCATTTGTCAGTGTTCAAGTCTTATCTAAAAGACAAACCTAATATATTGATCAGGATAGGGCTATGAGTATGAGTAACTAGCCTCCCTTGGCTACATTTCTATGAACACCCCCAACAGTGTGCAAAAACAGTTATGACTACCATAATTTTAGATTTCCTCGTGCCTTGCAAACATTTAAGCGAAATGTTAAAGTCACTGTAATGGATGTTTTTACAACAGACCACAATGTATGTAACCAAATAAGTGTGGTTCTCTTCATAATAACCATCTTTATGGGTTTTTTTTTTTTTAGGATATATTACTGTAATAAAGCTTCCCTTGCTTCAAGTACTTGTGTTTTTCTTCAGTAGGAAATTCCTTTCGAGTGTGCAATACATTTTGGAATAATGATGTCTACACTTAAGTACCAATTGGCTGTTAACAAAGCAAATTATGCTGAAAAGTCTTTATACTTACAGGGTAGATATGATTTTGAAACATAGTCAAAAGTCATTTAGACGCACATGTGACCAGTCTGGGTAATTTGTTTTTTAATCAAAGCAAGCTATAATGAGAAAATGACTATAAAGTCATGAAGCTACTATATATATATATATATCTGAGAAATAATTTCTGTACTGCTTTTAAAGATAATTCCATAATGAGATCCAAAAATATTATGATCAAAGGTAGAATATTTACAATAAGACTGGTTTTCTATGATGGCTATTTTTAACTGTCACATCCATTCTGAGGTATAAATTCTGGTGTACTTATTCAAAAACATCTCAATGTTTGTGTTTAATAATTATAAAAAGTTGGGGGGCGGGAGGGGAGGGATTGGAGTCAGAATGGGGGGGGTTGCAATTGTATGGGGAATATAAAAATAAAATTTATTTTAAAAAAAGTGAAAAAAAAATAATTATAAAAAGTGTCTTAAATTATCTTATTAGCCTGACTTACAATATACAAGTCTTTGCTGATTTCCCACCTTTTATCTTAACATTACTCTTTGCTCTTACTTGAGACTTATCTCTGAATATATGTGGGACCCCTATATCCAGTCCTATAGCATTGTATACTTGTATTCTGTGTAGCTCATACAATTTTTCAAGTACAGCTATAGACTTTTGGTTAAATACCATGCCCAAATACAAACAGTGTCATCAGACATATGCTTTGATATACATTCTAATAACTGGACAGAATAATGAAAATTTAGGGCATGAGAAGAAACCGAGTAATTGCCATATAGATTATTAAAAAAAGTAAACTTGGAAAATTGCTTAAAAACAAGCATAATCGGGCCTCCCCTGGTGGCGCAGCGGTTGAGTGCTGGGCTGGCCGCAGCCTCTGCAGCGCCAGTTCGATTCCCGGCCTCCGGCGAGGGTCCCACATGGCACGCAGACCTCTCCTGCCGTGCCCACTGCTCCCCTCAGCAGTGTACTTCAGTCCTTCTGCCTGTTCTGTTCCCCACACTGGCTCTGGTGAATTCTCTCACCAGAGATAATATATATCATGTTAAAGTTTTAAAACATCTTCCTAATGCATAAAAGTTTTAAGTTAATGTACTTGTCTTCCATGATATAAAAGTTTATTCTTTGCAGTGAAAAGTCTCTTTTAGATTATGTTTGTAAATATATGTGCATATTTATACATTTTTACATAAGCAATTTGACAGTTCAGATGTCTTTCAAACTCTACACTTGATGTGAAACCCAAGCAAAATTAAGAAAGCATTTAAATTGTCACAATCTAAATTATCTTCTGTTGCTAAGAGCAATTATACTTCTCTTCATTAGAAAATATCTTTAAGTGGCTCCCTGGTAGCACAAGGGGTTAAGACACAACCTATGACACTACAGCAGCCACTGAAACATGAGTTCGATCCCCAGCCAGGGAGAAGACCCACATGGCGCAGCAGACCTCTCCTGACTTGCCCGCTGCTCCCCTCAGCAGTGTATATAAGTCAGTCTGCCTGTTCTGTTCCCCACTCTGTCTTTGGTGAATCTTCTCACCCTCCACACCTCTGGCCTGTATCCCAGTTCTTGTATGCATAAATAAATAAATCTTGAAAAAAAAAAGAAAATATCTTTAAAATTAGCAATACATTTTTTGAACAATACCTAAACTCAAGTAACACTTGACTATTTTTTTTAAAGATTTATTTTTATTTATTTATACAAGCACTGGGTACAGTCACAAGCGCGGGAAGGTGAGAGAATTCACCAGAGCCAGAGCGGGGAGCAGAGCAGGCAGAAGGACCGAAGTACACTGCTGAGGGGAGCAGCGGGCGGCAGGAGAGGTCTGCTCGCCATGTGGGACCCCCCTCCGAGCAGCCTGGGATTGAACCAGCGCTGCAGAGGCTGCAGGCAGCTTCGCAACCCAGCGCTCAACCACTGCGCCACTGGGGAGGCTCGCTAGCACTTGACTATTAACAAAACAAATTATAATGAAAAATCTTCATAATTTTAAGGTAGTTTTGATTTTTTGATATAGTTAAAAGTCATTTAGAAACAAGTCCAAGTGACTTGAAAGAGACAATGAAAGGGATACTTAAAATACAATCCAGACAACTTTACTCCTTTATGAAACTGAAGGGATCATATTCAGAATGTTAGATTCTAAGGTACTTAACAGCATATGACATAAGTATATGAATTTTTTCTGTATATATGATAAAGTCATATAAGTTAATACCTAAACTGAACTTTCATACGATCCTATTTTAAAGACTTTAAAGGTCAAAATTTAAAGGCCAGATCCCACAAACGCAGAGAGGCTAAGGAACTTGCCTTGGGTCACACAGCTACTACGTAGCAGGTCCAGGATTTGAATCAAAACACTCTGGATCTAAAGCCTAACACCCCTGGCCATTAAACATTACTATCTAGCCTACTGCAGAAATTGTGGAAAGTACTTTTTCTCTCAGAATTACAACCCAGAAGGAAGTTTCCAATAAATGGTACTTTAAGTAGCTGCCAGTTCCTATAAATACTAGGAGCTTAAGGTTTTTTTTTTTTTAATACACCTATTCTTAGAGTATCTTATTATGAAATAGGTTGGAGAACAGGAATAAGTATGCTCTTAACAAACAACCTGAAAGCATTATTTTAAACTATACTAAAATTTATAAGGTGATCTGCTTTAAAAAGAAAGTATTGTGATAGATCAGTAATGACCTAATTTAAATAAACAATAAGCCACCTAAAATTAGTACTTAGATTTACTTAGATATATTTGGTACTTAAAGTAGTTATGGAATATTTAGTCTTCTGAAAATTGCATTTGAAATGATTAAGTTCCCCACAGCACTCTGCTAAGATTGACAATTTATGTCAATTCACATTTCCTAAATAGCAGGAAAATAGTTCAACAGATAATTTTTATAGATGGAGTAACAAAAGGTGCTTTAGACATCAACAAAAAGGTGATTCCAAAGAGCAAAGTCTTGCATCCACAGGGAGGAGCTCTCCTACAATAGACAATGGCCTCTCCTTAGCACCTGAGGTCCAGGTTTACTAAACATGAATAAAACACAGATGTGAAACTAAGTACCCCTTTACACACATACAGAATATTTATAATATATTTGGCTTTTCTGATACCTGAGTATGCTGATTCATTGGATAATTATGAGTCAAGTAATATCCCATGAGAGAGCTGCACCTATTCATTCATTCACGTAAGTTTAACAAGAAGTAGATATAGTATCCAAAGAACACTTCAAATATGAAATGCTACATTTAATTACACTTTGCCTAATACTGAATTTAGACTCTAATTTTAAAATCTCATTAGATTTAGTTTGCAAGCTTTTGTCTCATCACTTGCAAAGTAGGATAAAAGCACAATTATTAAATGTCAATTGGATATAACCTCAGTATCTATTCCTATGGTTTCACATTTCCATGATAATTTTGAGGCCCGTCTTTAAATTTTAAACTGGTAGAAATGGATTTCTATTTTAAAAAGAGATGTTTTAAAGGATTTGTTTTCATTTGTAAGAAGGAAGATTAATAGGGGCCTCCCTCGTGGCGCAAGGGGTTAAGACACAACCTATGACGCTAACAGCAGCCACTGCAGCAAGAGTTCGATGCCCGGCCAGGGAGCAACCCACAAGCCGCAGCAGACCTCTCCTGTCTCTCCCGCTGCTCCCCTCAGCAATGTATTTCAGTCAATCTGCTTGTTCTGTTCCCCAATCTGTCTATGGTGAATCCTCTCACCCCCAGCATCTTGGCCTGTATCCCGTTCTTGTATGCATAAATAAATAAATCTTTAAAAAAAAAAAGATTAATAGAAGTTTGAAATGTACTCCTTAGATTTAATCAGCAGCATAACAATAAAAACTTTATTTAAACACAAATTACCCACTTCACCACTCTCCATAAAAAGCTCAACATTCAGTCAACAAATGTTTCCTGAGCACCTACTACATGCAGGTCTGGCACTTGCTCTCTGTGTGCCCAGAAGACATCTGAGGTTCAGTGGCATGAAGGGGAGATGAACAAACAGTATGGAACTGTTTTCATTAACAAGTTTATAACTCATACATTTCTTAGAAAAATCCAAGAAAACTGCACAGCAACAATTTGAGTCTTGAGAGTATGACTTTCAATTACAAGTAGACTTAGTTCTCTATTCAAACAATTGGCTTCCCATTTTTTTTAATCTTCTCTCTCTCTTTCCTACAAAAATTCACCTTCTCTTCCTTAACCATGACTCACAGGGCATCTTTAAAAAGAAAAAAAGAAAGAAAAAACAATAACTATTCCTCTTTTCCCCAAACCTAGCCCATACACAAGCCCTCCTCTTTGCGGGGCACGTGTCCTTCCACAGCTCGGCTGGACACCCTCTCACCTGAAAAAAAGTTTGGAGATGACGCTGGCCTTTTCCAGAGGCGACCTCTGCATGGTCTCTGGGGGCACCCGGGTCCCTGCTGGGGCAGGCTGGGTTCTTGAGCTCCTAAAGCCAAACTCCCTACTCTCCTCGGCGCCTGCCGCTCGCCCCTTTTTCTTTGACCTGCCGTGATGTCATTAGCGCTTAACTACACCCACCCACCCCTATTCCACACACCTCCCCTTTCCTTGTGCTGCTTCCCCGCCTCCACAGCCCAGGTTAAAAGCCGGCGCAGCCTGGTCCGGCCGCAATTTTGTTCTAGCGGCTTTCTCCACCCCCTCGCACCTCCCGACAGCTCCTGTCCTCCCTTTGCAGACTCTCCCAGTTGCCTCCCTCGCGCTCACTCCCCGCAGGTCCGCCTTCCTACCGTCCAGCCTGCCCGGCCCGCAGGTGGGCACCGTCTCCGACGACCCAGGACCGCAGTCGCCCGCCGGGCAGAGCCGCCGGGGGAGCCGCCGGGACCCTCCCCGCGCCCGGAGCGCGCCGCCGCCGCCGGCCGGAGCCTTCCTGCTCCCTTTTCCCGAGATTCTTGTCGAACTCGGGTAACGACCGCAAGGTGCATTTTGAAAGAGAACGAAAATATGTCTCTCGCATCAGCACGAAGCCTTAGAGAGCCGGAGTCCGCCGCCCGAGTGTGATGTGTTCTCTGTAGCGCTTCCTCTGAGCGTAGGAGGAAGAACCAAGCTTTGTTACTTTCATGCTTAGGCAAAATTCCGAGGATGTCAGAGACGTATTTAGGGTGGTGAAATCCTATAAAGAGAGAAGATACGTTATTGCTTTCTCCATTACGCGCCCAGGATTTTAAAATTATCTTCCCTAAGATTTTCAGTCCGACTTCAGTTTGTCAGGCCGACTTCAGTGTGTGTTATTGACAGGTGAACAGTGTGTAAACTAACCCGCCCTCCTATTCCTATCCTCGTCTCGTTAGGCAAAACAGCTTGACTAATACACTGCCAGGACTCTAGCCTGCCTTTGAAGTGAAGGAAGCGTGTTAACTCTAACCTGACTCAGAGAAACGCCATCTTCAACTCTCTGAGGACATCTAAGGTTTTTCAGGTGTGGGCACCTTTGCTTCTGAGGTTTTGGTTTGTGAATTGTGGGCCGGTGCGGTGATTCTTAAAGAGCCAAGCTTTTAGTCTATTGTACAAAGGCTAGTGCACATTGAGTTTAAATTGAAATTTTCAGATGAAAGGAAACATTTTAGTCTGATTACTTTATTGCCTCACTTCTAAGGCAAGGATATTTACTTGTGAATTTCCTGGTTGTTGACTTGTGATCACCCAAATATAGTACAAATAAAATGTGTGTTTCATAACAGAAAGACAGGGACATGTATTTCATTCATTCATTCAGCAGGTTTCTATAGCTGCACTTTGCATTTCAACCTTACCCTTTTTTCCTATCTTAAAGTAAGGTTTATAAAAACATGAATTTTATTATCCTCAAGTTTAATGGTAGAGAAATTAAGAGTAAACAGATAAGCCGAACTGCAAAGTTAGATACCAGGAAAGAACATCAGTATTTCTAACTCATGATTCATTGCTTCCAATTCTGTTCCATGTTTTCTTCTCTCCAGTATGACATAAAATTTGAAACTCAGTCTTCATTATTGACTTTTCCCAGGTCTGTGATTAAACCCACTCCATCCACTTCCCACCTCCAGTCCATTGTTTGCTTTCTAACTGCTAATGTGAGCCATCAGATATAAACCACATATATTGAAAAGAATTGGTAATCAGTTCCTCTTATCAAAGGACAAGTGGCAATAAAGGGATTAAGAATAAAGTTCCAAAGAAGTTCATAGAAGCTTATCAAATGATGTGGCGTGAAGAGACACAGCTTTCTTCTGGAAAGCTTAAATAAAAGTCACTTTTTTTTTTTTTTGGTTCTTACTATTCCAGGCATCCAATTTTCATGCAAGCCTATAGTAACTGGTAGATTGATGTTATTCTCCCCAGTTTTCACTTGGGGAAACTGATTAGAGAAGTTAAGTAAATGCCTATGATGGTAGAGAGAAAATTCAAACTCAAGTCTAATTCTAAACTATTATTACTATCTCTTTATAATATTGCTGCTAATAAAATCATCCCTCACATATTTATACACTATCACTTGTACACCAACTGTCTTTTCACATTACTTCCATGAAATTGTAACTGATAGACTTGTTCAAGAATGAGACCGAAAAGAAAAATTTATAAACTATGTGCTACTGGAGTTACATATTTTTAATAAACAACATTTAATTATGATATTCCATTTTAAGAACATGTACATTCACATACAAAGGAACACCCTAGATTTTTATCATTAAAGATTATACCCCCAATTTTTTCTGGGCTTAAGTAAGACTTTAGCATTATTCAGAATGTTAACATTCTTAGCAGACATGAATAAATCAACTAATTGAGACCTGATATTCAAAATTTGCACATAGGTATTTACCTGATATGGGCATGGGGATGTGCATATCAGGAAATGTTCAAATATATGGCTGACAGTCATGACTGAAATCCTAAATGTGGCTTTGAAATGTTTAAGAATAGGAAAGAGAATAGGCCAGGTTGAGAATGGAAGGCAGTAATGATAAACAGTGAAGCTATTCGCTATAAGCGACTCAAACATAAGTTCATAAAATCTTATTAGAATAGCCTACCTGTTTGAACACTTCACTGTTATGCCAGATACCATGCAAAGAACACAGCATGCTTTGCCTTTTCTAAATACTTTTAACATCTTTTCGGGACAGATAACTTTACATTATCCATCTATTAAGCTGAAGAAACAGAGGTACAGAAAATTTAGTAATTTTCCAACATATAACTAAAAGAGAAAAACTGATATTTGAACCTAAACTTTCTGTTGTTATTGCCTGATCCCAATTACTTAACCACCTTACAAGGCTCCCCATCAGAATTTCCTAATGTTTTAAGCCGAACTGATGTAAAATATATATGATTAGGTAGCCATCTGTGTGGACTTATTTATTTTCTTTTTTTTTTTAATATTTATTTATTTATTTATTTATACAAGCACTGGGTACAGTCAGAAGCACGGGAGGGTGAAAGAATTCACCAGAGCCAGAGCGGAGAACACAACAGGCAGACCAATGAAACACACTGCTGAGGGGAGCAGCGGGTACAGCGGGAGAGGTCCGTGTGCCATGTGGGACCCTCCCTGGTGGCCGGGGATGAACCGGCGCTACCGAGGCTGCGGGTAGCCTCGCAGCCCAGCGCTCAACTGCTGTGCCACCAGGGGAGGCCCTATGTGGACTTTTTTAAACTGTAATAAAATATATGTAACAAAATTTGCCATCTTAGTCATTTTTAAGTGTACAGTCAAGTAATACTAAATACACTCACATTGCTTATGTACCTATCACCATCATCCATCCTCATAACTCTTCATCTTTATAACTGAGCCACTATACCCATTACACAGTAACTCCTCACTCTCCCCACCTCTGGCAACCACCATTATACTGTCTTTATGATTTTTGACTACTCATAAGTACCTCACATAAGTAGACAGTATTTTTCTTTTTGTGACTAGCTTATTTCACTTAGCCTAAAGTCCCAAGTTTTTAATACATTGCACAATTTCTGTCCTTTTTGAGACTGAATGCTAAATAGTTAAGTGTGTGTGTGTGTGTAAAAACCACATTTTGTTTAACCATTAATCTATTGGTAGACAATTGGCTTTTAACTATTGTAAATAATGTTTCTATGAACACGGGTATATAAATTGTTTTAGTACCTACTATGTATAGGTACATTTATTTAGTTCCTACTATGTGTTCAGCAATGTGCCCTGTGCCTCTTCGAATGCTCTCAGTATATAAATGCTTATGTGTCAAGCTGTTCTATATTACTCACTGTCAGATGACTGAAGATTCGCCATTAGATATCACCAGAGCAAAACTGCATGATGCTTCACTTATGCATCATGTTCAATTTCATTTGAGTGTGTTCCTCAGATTCTTTCCTAAGAATAGGCTTTAAGAGTGAGTTAGTAACCAAGACTATAGTAAAAAGTAGGAGGAAACAAAAAGTCATCCCCATAGGAAAGAAAAGCCCTTCAAAAAAGAAAGGCTAGACTTTATCTGCTGATGTGCATAGGCTGGTTCCACTTATAAAAATATCTAAGCTACAAGGGTAAGAACAGTGAAGGCTCTTACATAACACAGTATTTGATGTGGTGTAAATACACATTATAATCTTAGAAAGCTGTTTCACAGAGACACTTTTGGGGGGGTGGGGGCGGGAGGGGAGGGATTGGGATCAGAATGGGGGGGGGTTGCAATTGTATGGGGAATATAAAAATAAAATTTATTATTTAAAAAAAAAAGCTGTTTCAGACCCAAGGATGGGTGTCCTGGTACATAAGTAGGTCAGATTATCATTACTTTTACTGCATCCAATGTTATGCTTAGTCTGACAATTCTGTTTATAAATATACATGAGACATTATTTATACACACACATAACCCTTCTTCTCTATAACTTCCTTGGTGACAGAAATTGTGTCTTCTGTTTTCCTTTACCTTATTTCTTATTTAGTAATAGTTTATAAAAACAATAATTTTTCTCTTGGGGTTATTGACCTAATAGTTTAAATGTCATCTTAAATGAGATCTGAAGATGCTCAAGATAGGAAACATTAATATTAATCTTTCAGTTAACAAGAACATGGTGATAAGGCAGGTAGGAGTACAGAATAAGGCAGGTTGTCCATCCTTCAAGACACAGAATCTTCAGTGGTCATCAAAGTTCCTTGAAGAAGGTTTCAGAGTATAACAGAGAGTTTGAGATTTGAGGCAATATAGGATCAGATTTCGATTCTGGCATCACTACTTATTAGCTGTGTGGTATTGGATAAGTTACTTAACCTTTCTGTGCCTATTTTCTTTTCTGATAATGAGATTAATAATACCCACCTCATCGGGTTGTTGAATGGATAAGTCAAGGTACCTCTACCTTAGCACAAATGACATTTGGAGCTGAATAATTCTTTGATGGAGGGGGGGGCGTCTTGTGCATTGTAGGATCTCTAGCTTCTACCCACAGGACACCAACAGAATGACACACCACTCCTCCAATTA